ATTTTGGATTTTGAAATCTCACTACCGCCAATACCAGAGTTTGAAAATAAAAGTTGAAATTTTATATTCTCATTTTGGAATTTCAAATCTCAATACTGCAAAAACCTCTAGTTTGAAAGTATTTACATTTTCTAATTTCGAAAAAAAAGGCATTTAATAATCTGAAAATTGTATAGAAAATGTACAAAAACTAGCTTTTAAAACCTTCAATACCATTTTCTTTTTAAAAAAACATAAAATTTTCGCTCAAAAAGAAGGCATTTTATACAAACAAAACAACCTTAGATGTTCTAAACTATAAATTCTGTAAGATCTTATAGTCAAAGTATGAAATATCCATTACACCATTAGGTTGCAAAGATATAGGGATTAGAAAAATTTAATTAATTATATACATAAATATAAGAGCGAAGAGCTTTATTATAAAGATAATAAGTTGATTTTTTGAAATAATTCGTTAGTTCTTAAATTTTGAAAGTAAAATATCTGAACAATATCGCTAAGTTTACATTAAAATATTTAGCACTTAAATATATTGTAACTAAAATTCCTTACAAAACATTTACAGTAAATTCTAAAGCTGTTGAAAAACTCAAAGCCTTTGAAATATTATAAAAATATGTTTCAAATTTTAAAAAAAGACTGTAATCATGATTTTAATCTTTAGTTTTATTGTAAACAATAATTATCTTATATACTGTAGAAAATATTTTACAAAAGATGATCCTCTGCGCGTGAATCTTGTATGCACTTTAAAATTGATTTTGAACTGTCATCTTTAGAAATGGTATTCAAGAAAATCCAAAAAGTGCAAATATTGCATTATTTCGTAGATTTTCACATCATCTTAAAATATTTACAGAAAAGTTCACAGTTTGCAAAAGAAACTTTAGGCTTTAAGAATTAAACCTAGTATTTTTAGGTAAGACAGTCCCACATTAATATACTATATAATATATAATATACTAAATCACGTTACATTAATATACTATATAATATATAATATACTAAATCACGTTACATTAATATACTATATACTATATAATATACTAAATCACGTTACATTAATATACTATATAGTATATAATATACTAAATCACGTTACATTAATATACTATATAATATATAATATACTAAATCACGTTACAATAATATACTATATAATATATAATATACTAAGTCACGTAACTATTTTTTTGTGAAATTGCGGGTTTTCTAGGAAAACCACTGAATGTATTATTACCTGAACATAAGTTCTCTCCGTCTCTACCAGTTCAAGTATCACTTTGCGTAATTTCTCAGCGTCAGACAGTTGCCTAAATGCGTATTGCGTAAGTTAAAGGGATTGTTAGCAAAATTTTGAAGAAACCATTACAATTTACAAATCTTTATTTGATACTTTTTAGAGTGAATCATTAATAGCTTAATGAAGGATAACATTGAGTCCGTTAGTATTTACGTTAAAAAAAATAAATTAAGAATCAAAATAAATCAACAAAGATTTTGTTCACCCCTTCCTAAACTCATAAAAATATAGAAGTATGTAAAAATAAAGATATGAATATAAATATTCGTAAATTAAAAAAAATAATGTCCACAAATTTTGCACAGATTTTTAATATATATTTTATTAATAAAATATTGACATTGAATAATTGAAATCGTTTTTAATTTGAATAAAATTATATTTTATATGAAAGGTCCTATAAAGTTTCAATAAAAATAATAATTTTATAAACTTCGTAACTTCCTACCTTGGTGTTCCTATGGGAAGTGTGGTTAAACTAACCACACTTCCGGTCGGGCTACCCAGCCGGCCGGTCAGACTGCTCCCTTGCTGCTGCCGGATCAGTGCATCAACATCAAGTGCTGGTTGGTTACCTGAACAGTGCTCAGTAGACGTCAAGTTCCCCTCCATTATTAAAAAAGAAGTGGTATGTCCGATTCAAAACAGCACCCTTTACTTAAAAGATCTGACTGAGCAAAACAATGAAGTTGTTTTAATTTTAAATCTTAGAATTGATAATTTTTAAACTGTTTTTTTTTGTGATTTTCTCAAAAAGAAAAAAGAAAAATTACAGAATTCAACAACTTTAAAGTTTGATAAAACGACGATATCTTTCCCACTGCTGCTCAGGTAAAATGTACCATTGTGAATCAAGCATAAAACACATAAAATGGTGGGTCACTTAAAAATACGTTGACAGTCCCTTTAAACTAATTGAATAAACGTTGTGTGCGGACAGGGTTGAAAGGAGCTGGTGCAAATTACATAAAATGAAAATAAACTTCGACATTGATTGATTAATTGGAACAATTTTGATAGGATCCTTTTTTCATAGGATGGTAGATAATGCAATTCGTCTCCAGAGCCCGTGATTTAAAAGCTACGGCTCGGGTCGTTATTCCTTTAACCCAGCTTTAAGACCCAACTCGGACGACAGCTTGTGTGACATGATTGACAGCTGCGAGATCTTAGACTCGACTTACAGAGTAATATAGGCCCAATGATAGTAAAACCGACCTTAGTTAGTTTTAGTGGAAAATAAGGCTCAATGTTGAGTCTTGTTCTCCTCAAAACCCGGAATGTGCCAATTCCAACCATGCAAATCTGCCCAAAACATTATTAAACCGGTTTTGTGAACTCAACTCTGAGCAAAATTAGATTCAACTTAAATCCGAAAGCCCAAACCGTAAATAAGGCCTAAGGGCAGCTCAGACCTGAGTTGTATTTTCCGGAATCTTTTAAATCGCGGGCTCAAAGCAACCAAAATTAACCAACCTCTGCAATAATTTAAAATCTTGGATCCACATAAACATGATGTTAATCAAATAAGATTAATAGTTTGTGACCAGTGTCATGCATGGAGCGGACTCTTGCATGGGACGGACTCCAACTAAAGTTTTAACCATTTAAACACACTGTTACACATAACAAGCAATGTTACGACATTTTCCGATATTTATAAATGAATTTTGAAAAGTATATCAAAATTATTTATGTCTAGAGCAAATATTAATGACTTGATGATTTGAAAGGTAGACGACATTCAAGAGGAAACAACCTTTTTTGCCTTTACCCCTTTGAAATACATTTAAAAAACTAAATGCGTATTTTATTTATGTCAACTAATAACTTTTAATGTTTTTAACATTGCTCATTATGCCTAACGTTGTGTTGTAAAACTTTAGGGGTCGAGTCCGGCCCAATGCGCGCAAGAGTCCGATCCATGCAGGTCACCAGCAATGAACGCGATATTGAAGACACATTATCTATTAAGGAAGTATAATTGCAAGCCACTTTGAGCTAAATAGAAGGAGAAAGCCAAATTTATGCGACAATATTGGTACGACTTTGAGCCCTCAAGGCCTTATCCAGCTTAGATTTTACGAATGAGTATTAAAAAAACAGATGTCGTCGTGTACATATAACAAATTAAAAATATGTTCTTCTCAAAGCTTTTGAATGAAAAACGTTCAGATTGAAAAAGTATAAACATTTCAGCCTTACATGCAATTTACTTAAGCTTAACAGAAAGCGAAAAACTAAATTAAATCATGTAATTTTTACTTTATTCAATACTCAAACTCATCAAACTAATTCTAATGTGAACTAACTGCGTGATTATAAACAGGCTGCTGAAAAACATGTATTGTGATATTGTTTACCTATTATATCTCCTCCTCTAGATTTAGGATGGGGTATTGTTATACCACCAATTCCACTATCCCGCTCACTGTGGATATACCCGCTACCCCTAGATAAATAATATGTATATATAACAATTCCACTATTCCGCTCACTGTGGACATACCCGCTACCCCTAGATAAATAATATTGTTAAAATTAATTCGAAATATAAGGAAGACGATTTTTCCGACTCAAATTGCCGTAGCCTTTTCTCTAGATGTTTGCGTACTCAAGATCTATTTCCTCCACGTAGTGCTCACATGTCAAACCCCGCTTCTTCTCCCCCCCCCCCTTATACAGATCCCAGCCCCGGCAGTCAGCCGAAAACACCCGAGATGATNCAGTAATCAAAATAAGTAATTATAATTGTTCAATTAAAATATATCAATAAAAAATCAATTACAAAATAAATGTCAATTAAAAGATCTGGCTGAATATGACCACCAGTATTTGTGTTTTATCTAACTATCTGACTAAACATGCAGCCACTGGCTAAGTGTTCCTATCTGATTGAATATAACCTACCTATCTGATTGAATATGACCTACCTATCTGATTGATGATGACCTACCTATCTGATTGAAGATGACCGCTACTCCTGTCACTTCTATCTGAGGGAGGAGCTGTAGATTCTCCGTCGGGGGAAACATTTTCCTTATCTAAACATAAACAAGGTTTAATATTTCCTTATCTAAACATTAACACGGTTTAATATTTCCTTATCTAAAAATAAACAAGGTTTAATATTTTCCTTATCTAAACATTAACCAGGTTTAATATTTTCCTTAACTAAACAAAAAGAAGGTTTAATATTTTCCTTATCTAAACATAAAAAAGGTTTAATATGTTCCTTAGCTAAAAAAACAAGGTCTAATATTTTTAATACTAATAGAAAAAGAATTAGAAAATTAGAGTTCTTGGTCATACTAAACCAAGCTACTGCTGGTGGGACAAGTCGAATAGTCCTATGATAGGCCAGGTACAGTAAAAAGTCTGTCTGTGATATCAAAGATGAAACCAAGCCGGTATAGGATAGGGTCGGCCCGGTACAGTACAAGGGGTTCGGTCCGGTTCGAAGTCAAATCGACCGTAGTCCACCGTTAGACAAGGCAAAAAAATTTCACTAGAAGGGGATTATTCATTTGGCGTACCGTCTCGTTTTGCCTCATATAGTACTGAATGCTTGCGCTGGGTAGTTTAAATTCGGCCAGGTACATGAAATGAACTTGAATGTACCGTAAAGGGCTCAGTTCCTTAAATTAAAAATTGAAAATCAGACTATATATTTTCTACTTACTCCATTTAGGGGCAGGTACAATCAGGCTGGAGATTACGTCTTCATTCAATGCACTGTCCGAGGGGGGAGGGGGGCACACCAGGGAATCTAAAAAAAGTATTTTTTAACAATTTATATTTGTTTTTTTTTATGTGTAGAGATCAAGGCTATTTTTACTTCTGATCATGATAATGATAATCTGAAAGCTAGGGTAGAAATTTAATGCCGCGTAGATTAAAGACGAGGCACTTTCCTCTATCCTCAAGTTCCCCCAATTTACTTAAAAGCTAAATGTATTCTCAAAAGCTTGAAATTAATGAATGCATGAAGAATGACAGTTACACTGGAAATGAACAAAACAGAATTGAATATTTATAAAGAAAGAAAAAGTGAAGTTTTTAATCCATTTCCACAATCCCAAGAATTTAAGGGGATTAGAGGATTAGAAAGAAAGTAAAAGTAAAAACAACTCTAAATTACAGTAATAACCAGAAAACTGTGGAATAGGAAGACGACATTAGTGCAACACTGAATGGCATTTGATTTTGTTATAAAGCAAATGGCCTTACTAGAAAGTTATAAAATCACTAATTAAGTGAAATGGGTCTCCTGACACTGAACAATTTCTGTGCCTCATGTTCATTGGACTATTTCAAGTCGTCTTTCTATTCCACAGTTTTCTGGTTATCACTGTAGTCGCGCATAGTTTTCATTTTTTTTTAAATTTTGATTAAATATTTTTTGTGAACCATATCATTAATCTGTAATAGCTAGGCGCAATTGAGACATCTTAAAAAAAGGGGGAGGGGGAGAAAAATTTGTCGTTTTTTCTTTGTTGGAAATTTAATTGGGAACATTTTTTTCAGAAACATTTTTAAATTAGTATGCAGTCAAAACATAAACAAACAAAATGTGAACATAGCAGACGAAACTCTTACAGATTACAGCTTTCTCAGTAGGTATCACTAAACTAAATCAAAGAATTATTTAAAAAGACGATATCGAATTCGTCACTGAATTCCCATGTTTATTGGGACACCCTGTATGATAAAGATATATTCACAGAAAAATGAGAAATTTTCAAAACTCAAAAGTAAGAAGGTGTTTAAAGACCGTTGTTTAAATAAAAATATGTGTTTTTTTCAATCTATTGTTCTTTGCGTTGTTAAAACCAAAATTATTAGTCATAAAATAGATTTAGGATGCATGTAAAATTGTACAATGTACATACCTGCAGTACAGATTCTATGTACATCATATCGAGATCTGATACAATTGCCCCGTTTATCACCATTATCTCATCAGCTTTTATTATACCTAAACATTCATTTCTTCAATTTTTGATTAAAAACTGTTGGTATCCATAAAATAAGAAGACGCTTTTTAGACTATAGTTTACTGAATGAATTGATTTACAATTACGAGTGGTAAAAAGTTTTGCTTTAAACAAGATCAAATACACCTAGGATTGCTTAAGTAAAGTCTTACTATTTCACGGTATTTTGAGTCCTTTTGTATAAAAAATAAATATTTTGAAAATATATCCCTGCAAAGCCCACACGTTTGGGTTGTTTGAAGATTTCACCTTGAAAGTTAAGGAAAAATAGTTTTTTTGTTTGTTTAAAAGTTTTATTGTAAAAGAAAGTGCACAAAACTATTCTTATTAAGAGCTGTGAAATCTTAAATAATTAACAATGTTACAAACAATTAATAAAACTTTAAAGATGACCAAAAACTGTTATATAATAGTCTGTATAGTCTAAAAACTGTTATATAGTAGTCTGTATAGTCTAAAAACTGTATTATAGTAGTCTGTATAGTCTAAAAACTGTTATATAATAGTCTGTATAGTCTAAATTTTGATTACCATTCCTCGAAAATAATTTTCCAATAATTAGTCTTTAGGATTAAATAGAAAAATAAAGCCGTAAAAATGTAAAAAGCACTGAATAAATTCCATTTAGCCTTCTCTTGTGGAAACCTTGTAGATTTAACTTTGCTAACTTCATAGATTTGAATTCTCTGAGAAAAAAAGGAATTGTAAACAATTTGAAAACATTGTAAAGTGGAGACTGCTGTGAAACTTCTTTAGCTTGTCAAGACAAAACATAATAATTCTATTTTTATTTGAGAGAAAGCATTTATCAACTTTTCAGTTTTTCAGTTTTCATCAAGAAAACCAGCTGAAACAAATAGTTTAAGGGCTTTAATTTAATTCTTAATTTTTGTTCAGCAATGTAAGGACTCTTATTTTCCCTTGATTAAAGACGACCGAAGCAAATTTGTAGAATATTGGGGGGCATTACACTACACCTCGCGCAAAATTAATTTAAAACTAGCTTTTACCGTTTTCCATCGCTACACTCGTCTCTTCCACTCTGGATACATAGCAGCAAAGTTCATCCTTAAATATATTTACATAATTAACATTGAAAACGGAAAACTCTTAATTGAATCAAAGTAGAAGAATTCAGAGTTGCCTTAAATAAGGAATTGAAACATTCAAAAAAAACTAAAGACCTGTACTGTTATAAGAACTAAAAGTAAAGAACTAAACTATTTTAAGAACTAGATCTATTCTAAGAACTAGAACTATTCTAAGAACTAGAACTATTCTAAGAACAAGATCTATTCTAAGAAATAGAACTATTCTAAAAATTAGAACTATTCTAAGAACTAGAACTATTCTAAGAATTAGATCTATTATAAGAACTAGAACTATTCTAAAAACTAGAACTATTCTAAGAACTAGAACTATTCTAAGAACTAGATCTATTCTAAGAACTAGAACTATTCTAAGAACAAGAGATCTATTCTAAGAACTAGAACTATTCTAAGAACTAGAACTGTTCTAAGAACTAGAGCTATTCTAAGAACTAGAACTATTCTACGAACAAGAACTATTCTAAGAAATAGGACTATTCTAAAAATTAGAACTATTCTAAGAACTAGAACTATTCTAAGAACTAGAACTATTCTAAGAACTAGAACTATTCTAAGAACTTGAACTATTCTAAGAACTGAAACTAATTAAAAAATGGAAATTTTCAACAATAATATTTTTTCGGAGCTAGTAGGAAAGTGTTTTCTTGTAATGCATTATCAGTGCTTTTAACATAAATAGTTAATGTTTGTTTTTTCCCTGGCCTTTTATCCAATAATAAGATGAATCCCAATATTCTTATTCATTGGGATATTTATCATTTTCCTATATTAACACCAATAAACCAAGAAAACTTTACAAATCTTATGAAACAAAAATAAGCAGTTTTTTCATACAGAAATCTTATGTCAAACAATAATAACAAGGGGACTAAAGAATTTCTCGTCAATTTGATTTTCATGTATATTTGAACAAAGTCGAAAACTTTTAAATGAGGTGAACTTAAGCTCTGAATTTAACAGTCCAATTAGTACATTGCTATTTAGAAACGTATTGGAAAAGCCATTTAAAAATTAGCTATTTTTTTCTTCAAGAAGTGGAATCGTTTGAACCATACCTGCTTTTCGTTGTTCTCAACTAGTTCAGCCTCTACGGAGAACCCCCACATTACCTCAAGGGTACTTCTAGCTAACTCAACCTGTACAATACACAGTACACTAAAGAGTAAACGTTACACAGTACACTATATTGTACACAGTAAATTCCTATTGCATACTGTATAGTTCAAAGAACAATATAATAGTACAATAGTACATGGCTCAAATAACACTAAATAGTACATAGTACACAGCACACTATATAGAGCACACTATGGTTTGGAGAAAAATCAAAACAAAGTTTTGAAATAATAATAACGAATTTAATAATTTTGATAATAATAATAATAGAAATAATAATATAATAATAATAATAATAATCATTTGTCTAACCTGGTAAAGAATCTTCCCACAGACCTCCACAACCTCGTGTGTTGCAAGCTGAACAAAATATATATTTACCAATGGGCAAATCAGATTAACATAAATAAGCACTGTTATCTTAAAACTCTCTCTTTGATAAAAATATGGATCTGATAGAATTGCAAAGGATGAAAAATAATTGTAGATGACGGGAAAGTTGGATCATTTAGAAACTTTTAATATATCAGCTGAATAAAGATATTGAATAAAAGAGAAAAGTTTTTTCTACACATGTTATCTTTTTTGATTTTTGGTCGAAATATTTGAAATATGATAGCTGAGAATTTTTAAATTAGAGAAATTGTGTTAAGCTAGGTACATGAGTTCAAGAACCCCTATGTGCCACTGAGATCAAGAGAACTAGTTGAACTAGTCTAACCTAGTTCAACTAGGCTTCAAGCAATTTATAGATTCCGACCATTTCAAAATATCACATAATGAAAATGAGACCCTTTCTGTATCTATATCGGCATTCAAACATGTTTTCAACTCCATCGAAAAATCCGGAACTATTCCTTTTATTTGACAAGATTAAATGCCAGGCGCTGCCGATGGAATTTAAAAATAATTGACCGAAAACGATCTCATGTGTAAGCATGTAGTCTGAAGAATTTCACATTTTTACAACATTTTTATCTCTTTAATTGATTCGATTTGGCCGTCCTAAGGTAACATAAATACACACAAAAATCCATGCATATTTCGTCACATTTGTTTTTGTCACAATCATTGTTTCTTGCAAAGGAACTGAGTTTTGCCACTAACTCGAATTTTTTATCCCTATATCTTTGCAACCCGATGTCGCAGACCTTTCAAACTATAAATTCTGTTTAAATAATTGGTTTGAAATGTCAGCTGTTTACGCCAAATATATAGGAATTAGAAAAATTGAAACTCAAACCTGTTTCTTTCTTTGTAAAACATTCCAATATATCAATAAAAGGCCTGAAAAGCAAGACAGAAACCCCGAATTTATCATTTAACCAAAGAGTTAAAGGTCGTCATTAAATTCTCATCTGTTCTGGAGGACCATGTTTAAGAGTTATGAAAATATGGATGATTGTTAGATTAAACATTATTCAGTGAATGTTAGGGTTTACAAATATAGGACTATATTTGTAAAGAATGGATGAAAAGTCCAACCTCCAGTAGAACCGGATGCTTGAGTAGGAGAAAGATTGAGAAATGTTTTCTAAGTTCCTCTCATTAATGCCTTTGTATACCAAGTGGGGGGGGGGGAATCCGATAATTCACCATCCAATCAGCTTATACAGGGTGTTCAAGGCCAATCAGCTATATACATGGTGTTCCAGGCTAATCAGCTTTATACATGGTGCTCCAGGCTAATCAGCTTTATACATGGTGTTCTGGGCTAATCAGCTTTATACATGGTGTTCCAGGCCAATCAGCTTTATACAGGGTGTTCCAGGCTAATCAGCTTTATACAGGATGTTCCAGGCTAATCAGCTTGATACATGGTGTTCCAGGCTAATCGGCTTTTTACAGGGTGTTCCAGGCCAATCAGCCTTATACAACGTGTTCCAGACTAATAAGCTATATACAGAGTGTTTCAGGCCAATCAACTTTATACATGGTGTTCCAGACTAAGCAGCTTTATACAGGGTGTTCCAGGCTAATAAGCTTTATACAGGGTGTTCCAGGCCAATCAGCTTTATACAGGGTGTTCCAGGCCAATCAGCTTTATACAGGGTGTCCCAGGCCGATCAGCTTTATACAGGGTGTTCCAGGCTAATCAGCTCTATACAGGGTGTTCCAGACTTATCAGCTTTAGACAGGGTGTTCCAGGCTATTCAGCTTGATACAGGTACGCTAACACAGACACACGATCTTTCTCACAGACATACAAAATACGGTAGGGTTCAGTTCCTAACCCCATGAACTGAACTAAATTACTGGTTATGGATTAGATTTATGTCTCTCCCCTCTTCCGAAAAAGAACACTAAACACAGTTCTTCATCTTTAGAATTTATGTATATATGTATATGCATGTATAATGTCTATATACAATATTCGTAATAGGATAATAGGATAAACTCCTAAGAAACTATACATTTATATATAGTTTATATAGTCTCTATAGCTATCTATTTAAGCAATACGACATGGGACAATCTAATAATCATAAATAAAAAGACTGTTTACTATTTATTAATAAAGAGAATTAATGGCATTAAAAAATGGCATGTTCAATCTTAGAGCAGAAGGGCGCTATATGCCGCCATCCCCCCCTCTCTCTGCCTCCCCCCCCCCTCCTCCCTAATTCTAATTGAGAATTTTCCGGATAGCCCAACTTTGAAAGGAAGGGGAAGGGGGGGGGACTGGCTGTAACAAGTTATAATTTCAAATATTCCAAATAAACGTGATTAGAGCAATTGTGATCCTTTTCACTTAATAAATTGATTTACTTGTAAATCGCCAAAAACACATAAATTGCAAAAATGTCGTCTTCTTATTCCACAAATTTATAGATGTTATTGTAGCTACAAAATAAACTTACATATGTTTCGATAACATCAGATCTGTGAGGAACAAAATAGTTTACGCTTGGCATCTCACGGCGTTTCTTCACCCTAAATATCAATAATAATAATAATAATAATAATAATAATAAAGAAAAAATGTCTGTCCAAAAATTTTATAACACTGCGAACCGAAATAACAGTTATAATTTAAGTGGCATTTTTCGTTTCACTCATTAATCTGAACTTTGGCGACTTTCCTATTTTTTCTTGATTTATACTGTTTCCTCCTTTTAATATAATGCCATTTGNTGAATTTTCTTTTTTTTTCTATTTTAAAATTATTTTATTTTAGTCATTATCCCTTCCAATTTAAATTAAAAATCTTAACTTTCATTTCCCTCAATTTTTTCCTTATCAAAATACTCTCTGTGCTCTTTTTCTGCAGATACAATAAATATAAACATTATTGGAATAACCATACTATTATTCATCAAAAATTAATTGTTTGAAAAGTTTCTAACATATGCGTTTCTGCCATGATCAGAAATCTATTAATCGTACAGGGTATTTTTGACGAAGAAAAAGAAAATGGAAAGATAAGATTTTTAAATGAGATTAAAAAGGTTAATAGCTAAATTAATAATTTTAAATTATAAAAAAAAACGTTTAAGTTTTATTTTAAGCGCATTGAATATTTAGGATTTCTTTTAATTTTTCAATAAATTTTCCGTAATTATTTAGAATTTTTCAATAAATTTTCCGTAATTATTTAGAATTTTTCAATAAATTTTCCGTAATTATTTAGATTTTTTCAATAAATTTTCCGTAATTATTTAGATTTTTTCACCTAATTTCTTCCCGGATTTTCTTTATTACTTAACAAAGTATTGTTTTTGTTTAATCTATGCCAGGATATCTATTAATAAAGCTGCAAATAAACAATAACAGGGTTCTCTGCAAAACTTTGTTAAAATATTTTTATTTTGAACTTGAATAGTTTCTTTATTTAAGTGAAAGTTAGAAACACAAATTGTGTTTAATCCATTTTTTATTTATGATAAAAAATTGTAAAACCTTGACATCGCAACTCGTAGATTAAAGCAGATTAAATGTAATGATATTTTGCACAGCATCACACTGCAAGAAATGTTTTTGATTCGAAAAACAAATTTGCTTAAACGAATTCTCATGCCCTGATTCCTTGTTCTAGAGACAGAGTTTAATTTATTGGAGAGAGGTCGTTGAACTATCTACCGCCAGTTCAAATCCGCATCACCGATTAAAATTTAAAGATTCCTGAGAATTTGAATTTGAGATTTAGGATTTAAACCGGCAGTAGGTTCAAATATGGTTGGTTCCACTTAAAATTTTATTAAATTTTCAAGATTTAAGCCGGCGCTGAATTGAAACCGGTTTTTGGGGAATTTGAGACGTGGCTTAAATTCATTAAATTCGGACACAGAGCATATAATTATTAATGGATGCTATAGATTCTAGATTCGGACACAGAGCATATAATTATTAATGGATGCTATAGATTCTAGATTCGTACACAGAGCATATAATTATTCTATAGATTACCTGATAAAATGTTCATTTGGTGAAAGTCCTTGTTTAATGCAGCTCGCCGCTAGAAATTCTTCAACTGTCATGGCGTCGCGAAGATAGACAGATACACACTAAAATAGAAATATTTAGGATTGGATTCAGATAATCAGATTTGTCTGTAAAGGGACTGTAGTCGTAGTTTTGAGTGAGAGATGGATGTCCCTTAGGCCCTTTCATCCTTTATCCCCAGTTAAAAATAACTTTTTTGTGACTAAAGCTAGTAAACTTTAAACTATATTTTTGAAAAGCCCTTGAAAAATGGTTGTAGAAACATGTGTCACACTTTGATATTTGTTTAAAACAAAAAATATTTTTTTACATTTTTTTACTCTTTTTTTGGGCATTTTTTTCAACCTTCTCTAGCACCCAAACTACAGGGTGTCCCAATAAACATGGGAATTCAGTGACAAATTCGATATATCGTCTTTTTAAATAATTCTTTGATTTAGTATAGTGATGCCTACTGAGAAAGCTGTAATCTGTAAGAGTTTCGTCTGCTATGTTCACATTTTGTTTGTTTATGTTTTGACTAAACATTACAAGAAATATAAACACTACTGCAATATGATTTCGTACCTATTAAACCTTTGCAGATTCTTAACAAGTTATACAATATACAGATTTAGGATTATTCGTAAATTATGTTTTTCTGAGAATATAGACACAAAGAATTTGGATCCGGCTTTAGATTGCAATAAATATAAAGATTTTGGGGTCTCATGTTTTGTGGGTAGGTCTGTATTTGTGAATTCGGAGAAAGGAAATTTGTTTTCCGCCTTTTCGAATCCGTAAAAGAGATTTTAAACATCAATAGAATAATTTTATTTTATATTTTACACTGCTGTTTATACAACTTTAATCCTAGAAACCTTTCACCACAAGCTTAGAGACAAACATCTAAAATTGTCAAAAATCTGAATTTAAAGGGACTGTCGGCGTTATTTCAAATGACCCTCCATTGCAAAGATGGTAATGCCAGATTTAAACTGATTATTTTCAATTGTGGGTTCTCTTCTAAAGTGACGCATTTCTACTGCAGAAAAACATAAAAGGAATTATCAACAGAATGAAACGACAATATCTTCCACATTATTGATCAGAAAAAAGTTTAAAGGGTACCAAATCGTTGTGAATCGGACATTGCCATCTTTGCATTTAGGGTCACATTGAAATTACACTTTTCAATCCCTATTAATAATTAAGGTAGTGTTTGTGACAAACGAAAGGGAGTATTAGGCCAAACCAGAATTGAATTTGTGACAAACGTTTTTTCTCTCAAAATTTCTCATTACTTTGAGATTAGATGAATAAAAAATGGCACCAATAGTTATGAAATTATTTCCGGTAAAGCCATACCCCCTTATATATATTTTCTCAACCCCGCCTCTTTAAAGAATTCGATATCCTGCAAGAAATAAAAGTTTCTCTGTCACAGCTGTTTAAATCGTCAAGTTTTTGCGATGCAAATTTATATTGAAGCCAATATCCGAAACTTTGAACGTTACAAAAAGGAAATTTTACAATATGTATAATGCTTCACCATGTAAACAAACTCACTTCCACTTCTCTTTCCATTCTTACCCTCCTCCCAATTCCACTGCACTCCCACTTTCCCCCTTCATCCCACTTCCCCTTTACCCCCCCCTCTCCCACTTCCCCTTCCCCACTCTCCCACTTCCCCTACTGTACAAGGTCCAGGTTGAGAAACTCATAAAAATGCACACAGCACTTAATCTAATGTTCACCAACAGAGCCTGGCATCATGTGGGTTTATTCTTATAAAAACGAAATAAAGATATACAGGGTGTCTCAATTATCGGTAGAGTTTACATTTGCTTTGATCTGAAGGTCATTTTTTATGAACACATTTTTTGCAGTAACCAATATTAAATAATAGAACCTAGCCTTGATCATTGAGATCTCCAAAATTGTAATTTTTGGGAAAAGGAACATATGCCTAAAACTCAGTTTTTTAATCTATATCATTGGAACTATGAATTCTCTTCAAAGATAGAAATTAGGGTTTAAGACAGTAGTGATTAGTTCCTTTGTTAAATTGAATACTTGACCTTGACCTTGACCTTGAAATTGACCTTGAACTTGACCTTGCCTTGACCTTACCTGATTATCCGGGAGGTCAACTTGAACAAGTTTCTCTGCGTCCATGCTTCCACTGGAGTTATGCAAACTTCTCCGACCAGAGACAGAATTATTTCTGGAAAATATTGTTTCAGGAAATGTTCCCAATAAAGAAAGGGAGAGAAGGTGATATATAATCAAATTGTAATTTTGCTTTTATTTGATTTCACCACAACTTCCAAAAATGCAATTAGAGGTAGGAATACCGTGGGACCCAGGAAATAGTAGAGTAGAAACTAGAAATAAGTGAAAAAAGTGACGATTTTAAAAAGTCAACATGAAACACTGCAATGTGCAGTGTGGACAGACTAATTTCAATGGGTAAAACAACATTGAAATTGAATACACATAGTATTTAATATTTAATTTCTATTCCACAGTGTTATGAGGCCCACTGTGTACGTATAAAGTTTTGTTGAATTTATTTCAACTGAAGTTGGTGTGAGATGGGTTTAAACCAAAAATTATACTTTTTTGTCTAACAATGAAATGGAAAATTCAATGCTAATATTTTGAATATTCTTTTGAGTAGAATAATTTTAGTAGATTCTGATTTTTTTCCCTTTTCAGTAAAATGCATTTTCAGTGATGTATGCACATTTACATTCAAAGGGACTGTTCACTTGTTTGTGTAATTTAAAGGGAAGAACAAGAAAAAGTTGATTACGATAAAATATTTATCACATTTATCACAAAATATCAAAAATCTTGATAAGCGCAATTATAATTTAATTATCGCCATAGAATGTTTTCTTTCTTTTATACTTTCCCAAATTATAAAAAAAACTTATTTTTAAAAAAAAAGATGCCAATTCTGATGTTAACGTAACAGCAAACATTTCATCAATTAGAATGAAACCATCTTTTACGCATTTGTGACAAAGGAATTGAGTCTGTGTGTGAGAAACTTAAATTTTTTAATCCCTTTGTAACCTGATGGTGGATTATTAGATGCAACAGAATTAATATTTTTGAAGGTCTAAGATTTGGTTTGCAAAGATATAGGAATTATAAAATCCAAGTTTGGGCAAGGATTCAATTCCTATGAGATATATTTTCTTGATTTCTGCAATTTCCAGTTCAAAAATTGAGATATCCCTAACTGCATTTTCAAATTCTAACAAAATGGTCGTAATTGTTATTGCTTTATTGAAATTATGAATTGAAATATTAGATTTTATTCAAGCAACGGTGGATTAAGGTCAATTTAAATTCGACCCGGACCGACCCCTTATACCGGCCTTAGTTACTAGCGGCAGTTGTACAGGCCCGACCCTATCCTTTACCGGCTCGGTTTCAACTTTGATGGCGTGGGCCTATTTGCCCTACCCCTCTAGCTTAGTTTGTTGTGCCCTTGAATAAAATAGCACCTGGATAGCATGGGAGCACGTCGTTTTGTTGCACCCCTCCCTGCCAGCAGATTATTTAGTAAACTGGGACTCCTAAAGCGTTATCAAACATTCAAAATAATAAGAAATGGGACCAGATTTAATGAATTGCAAGAAGTAGTTGAACCGTGTAGACGAAGTTGAACAACTTCTGTTCGACTTGAACCGACGCACAAGAGAAGTGGTTCCCAGATATTTTTAATTTGAGTTTTTGTTCACAAAAAAAATATTTGTGTTTTTTTCAAAGGATGTAAAAGCTATAAAGAGTATGTTGCTATAGACATTGAACAAACAAAATGCTATTATAACGCATAATCAGTCATCTGTCACTCTAATCTAGACATCACGAAAATGCCAAGTTTTTGCGAAATAACTGGTTTAATTTTGTGACCTCTTAGCAATTCTTAAATAAGAGATTTTACACACAAGCGTGAAAAAGCCAATTTATTTGATGACATAAAGAAATGACAAACTTGTGATGTACTTCTCAATGTCGTTTCCAAAAAACGAGCTATGAATAAAAATACAAAGATTTCAGTCTAGCGTAAAATTTACGTGTACCTAGGGTATTTTCATAGTTTAGTGTATACCGCCAAAAAATTCTCTGAAAAAAAATTGTTAAAAATATAAGTCCTAAATTTTGGCACTAAAAAAGTACCATGTAAAAAAAATCCCTTGATAAAAAAGTCTTTTGAAATGAAGTCCTACTATTTTGAGACTTTATTTTATAGGACTTTTTTTCTGGTTTCAGTATGATTTCATACAAAAACGTCCGCGGAAAAGTCCTATTATAGCAGAATATGCATGGGAACAACATGCAAAAAGAGGGGCAGCTGATATTGAAAAACGCCCATTTCTATATTCAAAATACAGATGAATAGAAAAAAGTCTTTTTTACGAAAACGTCTTAGACATTTTCACAAGACTTAGGACTTTTTTTTCTAAGTTTTTTTTCTTTGAAATATTTTCTTCAGAACTATATTTCCTGTGATCTTACTCTGAGACTGTATTAGCAGTCCCCATTCTATTTTAGGAAAAAGTCTAAGGAATTAAAAACTCAGGACTTTATTTACAGTGACATTTTATCCTAGGACTTCAAAAAAATGGGAATTTTTTACCAAAGTTTTTATTTCCAGATTTTTTTCCCATAAACTTTTTTTCCGGCAGGTTTTAGTGACGTCAAACTAAGTTATTTATTCATTTACTTTCATAATTTTCAATTTAAAAATTTACTTTCTATTCACGGATGCATGACTTACAGCTGAGAGGTTTATTATGGTCGAATAAAGGGTGAAGATTTATGTGAAGTATTTTTGTGGAAAAATAAATCATTCCCTAAATATGAACTTTTGAATTTTGTATTATTAATCCCAACTATATCCAACCAGAAGATAATTTGAATATTGTATTATTAATCCCAACTATATCCAACCAGAAGATAATTTGAATATAATACATAGATATAAATAAATATTCAAAACTAGCTCCCAAAAATGTTTGGGCGAAAAAGCGGTAATCCTCAAGGTTTGATCTTGATTTCAACAGTGATACTGTCAGAATATAGGACAACCTGCTTAATTCCTTAATTTTTCAACTATCCCCGCCATGGGTTCCAACCACAGGAATAAATTTAATCCTTCAGAAAAAAACGCAAAAAACTTGTTGATTATAACACAAAAGTTTTGACCTTATCATAGATAAGAGGCTAACTTATGGTTCAAGAATGCTAATAAACCTTCTCCTGCGCTGCTCATTTAAACTTAAATCAATAGTTTAACTACTTCTCTTTATTCATAATTTCTCAACTCAGGATTCGTTGCTTTTGTTTTGGGTTTGATTTTGCAGATAATTAAGAAGTCCTTCGTGGCTTTAATCTTGATTTTTATGGTTGATTTCCTAGCACAGATGTAGGCATGGAGGGAGGATACAGTGAATACGCCCAGTCTGTTCAGCATACCCTTCGTAGGCCGGGATATTTGGGTTAGCACTCCCTAAATATAGATGTTCTTTAATACTCCATTAGTAGGGCGGGATATTTGGGTTAGCACTCCCTAAATATAGATATTTAAATACTCCATTAGTAGGGCAGGATATCTGGGTCAGCACTCCCTAAAGATAGATATTTAAATACTCCATTAGTAGGGCAGGGTATCTGAGTCAGCACTACCTAAACATATATATTTAAATAATTCATTAGTTAGTTAGAATATCTGGATTAGCACTCCCCACTCCCTATATATATATATCTAAATACTGCACTCGTGGGGCAGGATATTTGAGTAAGCACTGCCTAAATATAGATATTTAAATAATCCATTAGTTAGTAAGAATATCTGGGTTAGCACTCCCTATATAAATATATCTAAATACTCCACTAGTGGAGCAGGATATTTGAGTAAGCACTCCCTAAATATAGATATTTAAATAATCCATTAGTTAGTTAGAATATCTGGGTTAGCACTCCCTATATAAATATATCTAAATACTCCACTAGTGGGGCAGGATATTTGAGTAAGCACTCCCTAAATATAGATATTTAAATAATCCATTAGTTAGTTAGAATATCTGGGTTTGCACTCCCTATATAAATATGTCTAAATACTCCACTAGTGGGGCAGGATATTTGAGTAAGCACTCCCTAAATATAGATATTTAAATAATCCATTAGTTAGTTAGAATACTCCATTAGTGAGGCGGGATATGTTATATATATGTAAATCTAAATACTTCATTAGGAGGACGCGATATTTGAATTAGCACTCCCAAAATATTGAGAATTAAATACTCCTTCAGAAGGAAGGGATATTTGAGTTAGCACTCCTTAAATATGTATTTAAATACTCCATTAGTATTCATTAAATTCTCATTCTTTGTGGGTAACCATATATTTTTTATAAAGATTAAATCTGGGAAATATCTGATCATCTTCATATCTGATCATCTTCGTCATTTTTGACACTAAGAAATGTCAGTTCACATTTTGGAAAATAACAAATTACTTTTTTACTTATTTTCTAGGTAAGTAAGTACAGATGTTTTGAAGGAAGAATTATTGAAAATTTGTTCCCGAAAAAAACCCGCGCATAGCAAAGACGACATACATATTTCATTTTATTACCATGTTTTTCGGACACCCTGGATATAAAAGCTGGAAGATGGGCTGGAATAAATGTTAAATCTGAAGTTTTGAAAAAAAACTAAATAAAATCAATTGGTTCAAGTTGTAAAAAGAACTTGAAACTTTATAACAGCGTAAAAGTTGTTGAATGTTCAGTAGACGAAAATAAACCTGTTCATTCAACAATAAAAGAAAGAATGAAAGGAATTAACAATTTGTTTTGACAAACATTATGAAACCTGTTTATACAGGAATGTAATCTTATATACTTAACTTAATATTAGGAAAAATAAAATCCTACTCTGCAAAGTTTTTCTGAAAAAGCTCGCGGATTAAAAATAGATATCTTGAACAAAAATGGAAGGCGTCCTCGATAGGACATGAAGGGTAAGGGTCCTGAATAGAACAGGACGGGAGGGGGTCCTGGATAGGACAGGAAGGGAGGGGGTCCTGGAAAGGACAAGAAGAACGGGGGGCTCATACATAGGACAGGAATGGAGGGGGTCCTTGTTCGGACAGGAAGGGGGTGATGGGGTGTCCTGTATAGGACAGGAAGAATTAATATTTCAGTTGCAGTGCGGTGTCAGTATTACAAGTGTGGTTTCCGAAAATAAGATTGGTTTGAAAGGAATGTTTCCGTTTTTCTAAAGGTAATATGAAACAAAGAATAGAATGAAATGCTCGTTTTTTCAAACTTGTTTTGTTTCACATTTTTTCATTTAAAGCACACTTTTTTATGTTTAGATATCGCGCAAACAATAAAAATCAGTTTGTTCAATAGTCCTAACAATTTGTTTAATACTCCTAACACTTTGTTATGCTTAGATATCGCACAAACAATAAAAATCAGTTTGTTTAATACGCTTTACTGTCTGTTTAATACTCCTAACACTTTGTTATGTTTAGATATCGCACAAACAATAAAAATCAGTTTGTTTAATACGCTTTACTGTCTGTTTAATACTCCTAACACTTTGTTAAGAATCCATCTATACTGTGGAAAAGTAAGACGACATTTCAGTCAAATTAAAAGATATATTTAATGTTGTTATGAAGCAAATAGAATTTCCAGTTATATAAAAATCAAATCATCAATTGAAATGGGTCTGTGTACGCTGCACAATGGCTGTGTTCATTCAACTAATTCAATTCAAAACTCGAGTCTAACTGTCGTCTTTATGTTCCACATTATTATGGATCTCACTGTATATATGTGAAAAAGTTTTAAACCTACCTTTGGATTTGGTAGTTCTCCAGCCTGTAAACTCGCCATGTAACATCTCAATCTAGGCAATTATCAAACTTCAGGGGGGAAACTTTACCAAGAGAATTTCACAAGAAGTTTGGACTAATCTTGTTCAAAACTTTAGGAATGACGGGGGGGAGAAGACAGGACAGAAGAGAATCAAGATTTGCAAATTTCGCAAAAATGTAAAGTGCCTATTTGCATAACATTAAGACCTGCATCTTGCTTGTTAAAAACTAAAAATGATAAAAGTAGTTGGAGCGAGAGGAGGGGGGGGGGGGAAGATAAAAGGGGGGATAGTAAGGGGGGGGGGGAGGAGGTAAAAAGAGTTTATATGAAGAGATAGAGCTGGAATCTTTTAAGTGAACCTAATGAGCTTAAATCTTTCTATTCTATGGAAAAGGAGGGGAGGTGGTTTTGCTATTAATTGGTCTCCCTATAGTCAAATTGGTAAAAACTTGAAGAAATGACGGCAAAGAGATCTATTTAAATTCCAAAATGATAACTCAGTTCGTCCATTTAAAGTTTCCAACTCAAAATACATATCTAAAAGTTTCCAACTCAAAATACATATTTAAAAGTTTCCAACTCAAAATACAAATTTAAAAGTTTTTAGCTCAAAACACTCATTTAAAAAATCCATTTCAAAATAAATATTTAAAAGTTTCTAATTCAAAATAAATATGTGCAAGTTTCCAGCTCAGAATATATATTTAGAAGTTTTTATCTCAAAAATACAGGGTTAAAAGTTCCAAGCTCAATATGCATATCTAAAAATTTCCAGTTCAGAATATATATTTGAAATTTTCCAGTTTTAAATATATATATATATCAAAGCTTCCAGCTTAAACATGCATTTAAATTTTCCAACTCAAACATTTTAAAAGTTTCCAGCTCAAAATATATATCTAAAAGTTTCCAGCTCAAAATACATATTTAAAAGTTTCTAGCTCAAAAACATTATTAAAAGTTTCCATTTCAAAATAAATATTTAAAAGTTTCCATAATAAGATACAAGATACAAAGATAGAAGATAGAAATTTTCGACAGAGTTGAGTACAGTTAGACCTATACAACTGTGGAATAGGAATACTACTTTTAAACACGAGTTATAAATTTAATTGTGCAGTGTACACAGACACATTTCACTTAATAGGTTGATCTTTAAGCTACTGATAAAACAACATCTTTTCCACAAATAAGAATCGTCTTCCTATTCAATAGTTTTATGGGTCTCACTGTGTATAAAATATTCACCTAAACTGTTCAACCTGCAACCTCTCCAGGTTCTCCTCCCAGTGACTTATCTGACTCTAATAAATAGAAGGTTAAAGGGACTGTAAAAATAATAACAAGTTAAAGGTACTAAACGCATAATAACAAGTTAAAGGGACTGTAGAAATAATTTCAAGTTAAAGGGACTGTACGCATAGTAACAAGTTAAAGGGACTATACGCATAATAACAAGTTAAAGGGACTGTAGAAATAATTTCAAGTTAAAGGGACTGTAAGCGTAGTTTCTTAAAGGGAGTGTTTGCGAAAAATGAAAGGGGGTGTAGGCATACTGCAAAAAATAAGCGTTTTTGTTCGCTACTAATCTTACTAATCTTAATCAATTTAATTTCAAACATATCAGTCAGATATAACAACCTATAGTCATCGATTACTTTTCGCCACATTTGTATATAGTTAATTTTTCATAATATTTCTTACTTCTTTTAAGTGCAATTGTATATTAAAGAAATACAAAATATTATGAAATATCAACTATATATATGCGTCGAAAAATAATCGATGACTAAAGGTTTTAATATCTCAATGATGTGTTTGATAGTAAATTGTTTTTTTTTACGATCCAAGTCGTGAATTGCAATTTTTTCAACAGATAGAAGTAAGAATGCACTAGATCATTTTCTGTATCAAAACAGTGTTGAACAATCAAGGTTTTAGAAAAAAAAAGTCCAGAAAGAAGATAAAACGGTAGTCTGAAAGTCAAAATTTAAAGAAAGTAAAAATGTTTTTTTTGGACAAAAATTTTGTGTTTAAATCCGTGCCATTTCTTCGGTATATGCACCTCATTTTCCCCCTAAAGATTAAAATTTGAGATTTAACATAAAAGCATAAATCTCCCTCTCCTTTATTTAATATACAGGGGGTCTATATAAAAACATCTGTTGTTGTTATCACCAAAACCTCAATTCTAAACGGATTTTCGTTTTTCAGAACATTTCAATAATCTAAAAAAATCCGATCGAATGGAAGAAAAATAACCTAAATTTTTATGCAAACAAAAACTTTTGAAAATGTAATTAGATTCGTCTTGGAAATTGTGTGTTCTGAATTAACAAAAATAGTTCCAAAACTTAGATTAGATATTCTAAATGTAAAAAGAACTCTCAAATAGGTTTCTGGCATCAATCAATGTTTTAAGAGACACCCTGTATACCTACGGATTACTAATGTAAATCCGACCCTAACCATTGGTTGGATTTAGTATTCAGTCCAATAGTAGGGATTCTAACAATCTAAAGGTTTTCAAACAAACTTGATAAATCATTTTCCTAGATCTGTAGACATCAATACACAAACAAATCAGAAATCAGAAATCAAGAATTCGAAAATATTGATTTCATTTATTCTTATTTTTTTTTGCTTTCAACGAAAGAATTCAATAAACCTACAACGATGGTAAATAACTCAAAGTTAAGTTTCAATTTTAAAATAAAAATTTTAGTGCAAAATTAAATGTTGACAAAACTTTCTTATTTGGTCGTCGGGGGAAATGGTTCAAATGTTTTTACTAAATTACTAATTAATTACCAAGTTAATGGTGTATACGTATTCATAAAATCCAAACTTAGACTCAATATCACTTCAAATGTATTTAAATCACTTTAGTTATAGCTCTCTGAAGAAATAACAATCCTTTCTGATAATCTGTAAAAAAAATTTATATTTGAAAACAATTCGATATTCTTTTATAACTACGCACATGTTGTAAATGGACTGTAATTGTAAGTTCAAGTGACCCTCCATACAAATATACCAAGGTCTGATTAGTAATTTGTAAGATATTGCCTTTTAAAAAAATTGTTTAATTATAAAAGTCCCTGTTCGTTGCAACTTTCTCAATTTATATGGACGTTACGTTTTTTTAGTATCAGTCGTTTTTAACAATTTTCTCCTTATAGACGCAACAAATAGAAGTAAGATTAGTAGCGAACAAAAGCGCTTATTTTTCGCCGTAAGCCTATACCCCTTCCATTTTTCGCGAACACTCCCTGTAAGGGTACCGATGTGAATCGGAAAAATGCCATTTTTGCAGAAAGATCTCTTGAAATTAAGCGCACAATCCATTTAAAGAATTATATTCTACCTGAATCTGATGTTTGGATGGAGGATCTGCTACAACGGAGGATTGTAGTTCAGCCATCCTCTTCAGCTTGTGGTCAGCCTCCAGACCCTTCTCTAGTCTATAGATCTCCTCCTAGCACACATAGTTTCAACAGGGATCAATTTGACAAATTGGAGAGGTCGCTCAACTACCTAGAGCCGGTTCAAATACTGAATCTCTACAATCTTTAGTCATGCATTTTGGATTCAGGATTTAAACCTGCTGAAGGTAGCTCAACGACTAAGCGCTAACTCATTCAATTCGGTTCAAGATGTCAACAACAACTGCAAGAAGGGTGCAGTATGTTTGAAAAAAATGTGTTTTAATACCTAGAGAAGGTAAACCATATCCATAGCTAGAGAAGGTGAACCATATCTATACCTGGAGAAGGTGAACCATATCTATACCTAGAGAAGGTGAACCTTATCTATACCTAGAGAAGGTAAACCATATCTATACCTAGAGAAGGTGAACCTTATCTATACCTAGAGAAGGTGAACCATATCTAAACATAGAGAAGGTGAACCATATCTATACCTAGAGAAGGTGAACCTTATCTATACCTAGAGAAGGTAAACCATATCTATACCTAGAGAAGGTGAACCTTATCTATACCTAGCGAAGGTGAACCATATCTAAACATAGAGAAGGTGAACCTTATCAATACCTAGAGAAGGGGAACCTTATCTATACCTAGAGAAGGTGAACCATAGAGAAGGGGAACCTTATCTATACCTAGAGAAGGTGAACCATATCTATACTTAGAGAAGGTGAACCATATCTATACCTAGAGAAGGTGAACCTTATCTATACCTAGAGAAGGTGAACCATATCTATACCTAGAGAAGGTGACCCATATCTATACCTGGAGAAGGTGAAGGGTTCCGGTTTTTCCTCTATGGCGCGCGAATGCCGCTGCGCATGCTGAATGTATACTGTTTACCCAGTTCTCAAGCTCCACTTGACAGGGGGCCTAAACAAGAAAAATGGGGTTTAAAAACAAAAACAAAAACATGAATCTTTTCAAAACCGAAAGTTTTTTCACACTTAATAAGATTGATAAAAATTTAAACAGACGAATGTTTTTTTTTAATAGAAATATCTATGGTCTAAGACAATTAAACTAGGAATAATAAAATCAGAGTTTGTGGCAATAACCAAATTCTTATAGATAAAAGAAGGTTGGATACCACAGGAGATACTTTTATCTATTTGTTTATATCGAGTGTTATTAATAATTAAGTGTTTTTCTTAAATGTTTTTTTTATTACAAAGGTTTTATCATTTTCCAATATTCAAGGCTTCAGAATTCTTCAAGAGAACAATTATTATTTTATAAAGGTGGGGAAATTGATTAAAGAAAACAAACACTGAAAAAATGTACCTTAAAAGGGACTATTAACTAAATTTTCAATGAAAAGGGGTACAAATTATATCATAAACCTTCAATCCTTGAACTAGAAACATGGTTGGATAGTGTGCAAAAATGATTACTTTATCCTAGTTTTTATGGCTAATATTAAAATCTTTTGCGAATAAAACAAAGCGACACAAATTAGCTATTTTTTCTCCGCCAGGTTGCAAAAATGGTTTCTTTGTATTAAGAATTCGTATAATAACCTTTGAATTTAACTTAATAAGGATTGATAAATTTCAAAATTAAATTAAAATTAAAAATTCGTTCAGAGAAAATTTTATTTTAGTTAGAAGTTTTAATTCATAAAGTATTTGTTTGACCCAAAGTAAAATCCAAATTTGGAATTTCAAAAATCTAATTCCACATCAAAAGTTTGCTGTTAACAATTTCAATATCAATATTATGTAAATTCTTTTAACATAAAGTGAATACCTACTATAAGAAAAGTTTCAAATGAAAAAAAAAATAAAAAAGTCTACAGTAAGCAGAGCTCAATAATAATTAACAATAATTAGTCTAAGCTTATCAATAAAATAATTAATAACCATTCCTAGAAAATAATCAGAAAACATCATGAAAAAGTATGAATTAATGGCTTCTAGTCGAATAATTAATTTTGCAACAACGTTATCGATTTAACATAATTAATAAGGAAAAGATTAATTATTGCATAAATAATTATTCAAGAACATTTTTCTTTTGGAAACATAACATCTTTTAACAGTAGTTGTTGTTAGAAGCCTAGAACCTTAATTTAAAAAAAATCATTTTCTTTTGACATTGAACATATCTATTAAAAGTTTCATTTAAAAATGCAACCTCCCCCCCCTTCAAATCAGAAAACAGGAACTTTAAAATCAGTAAACCTCGAAATCATAAAACAGAAACTTTGCACCCCCCCTTTACATTAGGAACTATGCCCCCCCCCCTTACATTAGGAACTATGTCCTCTACCTCCTTACAACAAGGAACAGGAATGGAACTAGAATATTGTATATATTCTTGGCTTCTTTTCTATATAAAGAGACATATCATCATTTTTCAGGAACATTAGTCTGTCATATTCAACAGGGAACTTTATTATTTACACGGAAACTAATATTTTTTATTATTTTTATTTTTATTTTTAATTTTTTTTCTGTTGTTTGAATACTAATCCACAATTAAGATTGACATTTCTAACTAGATAATGATAATATAATTATATGCATTGCGTATAATTCTTAATTACAAAACATTTTCTGTCAACTCACAGTAAGCTAAAGTTAATTACACGAAAAATCGAAATCTTTGGGTTTCTTACAGTTGTGCACAAAAGCAAAACTAGAGAAACAACGAGGTCGCAAAGTCGTACCAATCAACTTAACCTTCTCCTTATATCTAGGTTTTCCTCCATATTTAAGGCTAATCAATATTTGTTAACTCACGTCATAACTTTTGGATGTAACATCCTTGTATTCTCGAGTTTAATCCATGTAGTTTAAGCTTTATCCCAACCAAAAGCTTTAGACTCCGCTACACTATAGACAAGGTAAGATTGTAAGAAAGATTTGGCAATAAAACCTTGTTAAAAAACTGATTTTACATCGGTTCCCTTAAAACCTTTATCTTATCAATAATGTGGAAGATATTGTCGTTTTTTTAGTTGAAAATGCGAAATTCTGATAATTACTAAATGTTTTCCTGTAGTAGAAAATTCACTATTGAAAATAATCATAAATGATATTAACATGGATATCTTCTTCATAATTGATCAGCCAAAGCTTTTCAGAGTATCGTTGTAAATCGGACATTGCCATCTTTGCATGGAGGCTCACTTGAAATTACGTTTACATCCCTTTAATAGAGGATAAATGCTTAAATCTTGAATATTAAGCTGTAAAACTGAATAATGAAATATTTAAGTTAATATTTTAAATTCAGATTAACTTCAAAGTTAGTGACGAGACTGCTCTTAAATTTATTAAAATTTGATTCAATCAATTCCAATGTCGTTAGTCAAAAGTGAGGGGAAGGGGGAGGGGTATGGGAGGGGGAAGGGGTGACAGGGAGGAAGGCCTCTGTGTTTTATTGTTGTAAATAAATTATTATTGTATTTTGCTGCAGCACATAAATCATAAATAATTTGCTAAATTTCTCAAATTGTTGCAAAATCAAGTTTAAAACTATTCTGCTTATTTTGTCAGTAAAATATTGGAGATCTCTTGTTAATTTCATACTTCCCGCATTTCCGAATTTAGTGGTTTTACAATGACTTGAAAAAAAATCGTTAAATTTCAGAAATTCGATATTTGCTATTGTATTCTTTAACAGAGAATAATCTGATTAGTTTTATCCATGTATTGTACACCATCCATGAGACTATAAAGACGACAAAAACTCTTAAAATGAATATATCATAGTTAGGCTAAATCTTCTGCCTTAGAACGTAGTTTAATGGCATATTTCATGGCAAAAAAAGAAGAAAAAAGTTTACAGTTGCAGGAGATCATAAATACAAGGAAACAGAGAATATAAATTCCGTACAATCGTTTCTGAAGCCTAATCCTCTGTGGGTAACCCTGCATTTCAATTCCAGATGAGAAACGACCAAAAATATAAACCTTGATATATCAGGTATTTACTCCGGTTGAAAAATATTATTAATGACAAGCTTTCAATTCTTTTATATAGATTTCAAGTCAAAATTAAAGTTTTAACCATCAAAAACTTTTTTTCAATCAAAGATTTACACTGATTTAGGTATAATTTTAAGATTGACAGAGGTTAATAAAAACTAAGATAAATAATAAAATAATAAAAAAATTCCATCTTAAATATTATGTCTAACTCGGAAAACGAGTAAACGCATTTTTTCCCGTGTTTTTACAAAAATATTGGAAAATCCTAATAAGCTAGCTGCATCTATTGAGCAATAATTTTATCTACTATACAGGCAACCTGATGACGTAGACTTTTAAATTATTATAAACAATGAATTCTGTTAGATAAAATGGTCATATTTGAAATAGTGTTCAGTCCTTACTGAATAAAGAATTAACGTTTGTTTACACAAAATACAAGTGCACTGGCTCACATGTGTATCCCAAAATACAAGTGCATTGGCTCACATGTGTATCCCAAAATACAAGTGCATTGTCTCACATGTGTATCCCAAAATACAATTGCATTGTCTCACATGTGTATCCCAAAATACAAGTGCATTGTCTCACATGTGTATCCCAAAATACAAGTGCATTGGCTCACATGTGTATCCCAAAATACAAGTGCATTGGCTCACATGTGTATCCCAAAATACAAGTGCACTGGCTCACATGTGTATCCCAAAATACAAGTGCATTGGCTCACATGTGTATGCCAAAATTTATTATCTTTCTTTATAAATAATAATTCGAGTTTGCCAGCTCATTTATACAGATAATTATACGTGCACAGAGAAATCTTTTATATAAAGAATGCGAAGTTGCAAACAGAGAGTGTACCAATAAATATAGAAATTGAGAAATAACAAAAAATGCCAAAGTTTGACGGTCTAACATGTGCATGAAAACGACAAAATTGTACTCAATGGGTTAACGTACAGTATAACATATAAAAGCATGGAACATGAAAACGACTGTTGTAATCTAAATAGTCAGATTATCATTAAACGCATTAATTTTTCTAGATTTCAAGTGTTCAATACTATAAATTTTCTATATGTTTTCCTTATAGCAGAAATGCGCAAGTACAATGTAAATAATAAGTTTTAAAAATCGTGAACAATGAAAAATACTTTATACTCGATCAGACAAAGCTTTTCGTGATTTGAATCTTTACATGAAGGATCACTTGCGCTTAAATGTCGTAATCCTAAATGTCGTCTTCCTGTTTTACCTGGAATAGGTACGCGTCCCCGAATGCTGTTGAGAGACAGAAGATAAAATCTCTCTTCGGATGTTCAGGGATAGGTTGAAGGATGGATCCATCCACAATTATCAAATGTTTTGGGGTTGCCTCAACAGCTCTTCCCTAGGATATAGTTTGATATTATTATTATTAATAATAATATTATTACTATCAGTATAATTATTATTATTATTAATAATAGTATTTTTATTATTATTAAAACAGTTATTATTACAAATGGAATTCTATGTCTGATGTTTCATTATAATCAAAAATTAACCAATAAGAATAGTTATAAAATTGATAGAAATGATAAAAATAATCGGGTGAGTAGTAATACAGTGCATAAAGTTAGGTGTTCCAGAAACATTTTGCAAAGTGTAATAAAAGTAAAACTTTTAGAACAATTACACACTCTCAACTAAACTTTCGGTGTGTACTGCGGTGATTTGTACTATACTGTTCGTAGAAATAGTGGATTTTAGTGGAGAGTGATTGTGTGATTGATAAAACTCGTCGCAATTATTGGGTCGAGCCTTTTAAAGTTTTAGAAGCTCAAAAAACTTCAGTGATTCAGGAAATCAAAGAAAGGAATCAAAACGATACATTATAGGACAGTAGATACGCTAGGACAATAGATACGCCAGGACAGTAGATACGCTAGGACAGTAGATACGCTAGGACAGTAGATACGCTAGGACAGTAGATACGCTAGGACAGTAGATACGCTAGGACAGTAGATACGCCAGGACAGTAGATACGCTAGGACAGTAGATACGCTAGGACAGTAGATACGCTAGGACAGTAGATACGGTAGGACAGTAGATAAAAACAGGTTTTCGAAAAAAACCAAACAGATTAAAAAATCTTTCCCTCTCATCTTTCATATTTATCTTTCGTCTTTGTTTGTCCAACTGATTAGTTGTTTGTTTTAGGTTATTTTTAGTTTTTCACAATTCAGCTAATTTAACCAGATTCAACCAGATTTATCCAGATTTAACCAGATTTAACCAGATTTATCCAGATTTAATCAGATTCAACCAGATTTATCCAGATTTAACCAGATTTAACCAGATTTATCCAGATTCAAACAGATTCAAATAGATTCATCCAGATTTAAACAGCTTTAACGAGATTTATCCAGATTTAACCAGATTTAACCAGATTAAACCAGATTTATCCAGATTTATCCAGATTCAACCAGATTTATCCAGATTTAATCATATTTATCCAGATTTAACCAGATTCAACCAGATTTTTCCAGATTTGACCAGATTTAAACAGATTTATCCAGATTTAACCAGATTCTACCAGATTTATCTAGATTTAAACAGAATTATCATGTAACCAGAATTAACCAGATTTAAACATATTTAGCCAGATTGAAACAGGTTTAATCAGATTAAAGTAACAGGTTTAATCAGATTAAAGTACCAGATTTACCCAGATAAAACCATATCTAACCAGATTAAACCAGATTTAACCAGATTAAACCAGATTTATCCAGATTATACATATTAACAGGTTTGACCAAAATTAACTAAATTCAAGCAGATTTTACTATATTCCCAGAATATAACAGATTAAAACAGAAAATTAAATCAGATTTAACTAGATTATATGAATACAATGAAGACAACTTTCGATTTCATTTGTGATTTCTGCTTTTAGCTTTGAAACTGCATAGATTAGATACACATAAACATCGAAACAAACATAACCTGTCCATTAACAGATTCTAATTGTTTACTTTGAAATTGTAATTGTAAAAAAGCTTGTTACGAATCAAGACATAAATAGAGAAGTCGTCTTCATTGTATTCATATAAACACCGACCACTGTATAAAATTGTTCCCTCTTTCAGTGCAGTAATTATCAAAATCGAAAAGAAAGACAATTTTTATTTAAACATCTCTGCAACGCCGACATTTTTCAGGTTTATAGCTTCTCCTCAAAGAAAGATCATTCATGAGTAGCTCTAAACCCACAAAATGTTGACATTGCAGAGATGTCATAATAAAATTTTTTTTAGAAAATGCTTTCTTTTTAAAAATCATCCGAAATATAGTCAATGATGCAAAACAAGAACAAGAAAATGGAGATTTTAAGAAAAATAGAGATTTCAAAAACCAGCATCTGTTATCATCTGATTATTTATACAGTTTTGTAATAAAATTCGGTAAAACCAATATTCAAAAATAAATGTTAAAAAATCAAATCATACAGGGGGTAATAAGAAAAAAGAACTCCTCACCTCTCTTGAATCACAAGGATAAAAAAGCAGAGTTGTTCCTTTCAGGCACACCCAGTAGCCCTTCCACCCTCGCTTCCTAGCCAGCTCAACCTAGAGGTGTATACTGTACACTTACAGTCATCTTCAAAATAATAAGGAATGCCACAAAGATTAAGTTTGAGTAAACAGAAAAATATAACAATGGTTCCCATAAAACTGTGGAATAGTAAACACAGCTTTAATATTCAACATTGATTTTAAGTAGTCCAATGCACATGGAACAAGAATATGGAACAAGAACATGGAACAAGAACATGGAACAAGAACATGGAACAAGAACATGGAACAAGAACATTTTACTTTGAAAAGCTGGTAAAGCTATTTGGTTTAAAATAAATACTAAAATATCGTCTTCCTATTTCATAGTTAATGGGTCCCATTGTACATATACGGAACATGAGAAAATGTTATTTTTGTGCTCCTTTATTACTCTTTAATGTAAAATACCTGATGCTTTTTTCGAAGCAGCCATTTTTTGACTGAAAGAAAACCGGCTTTCCTAACCGCGCCTGTGCAGTTGAAACTTGCAGCACTTCCACTCTGCCGCGCCTACAAAGAATTTATAATTAATTAATTACAATTCGAATAAAAATAAATGTTGTAGGATTTTTCATAAATCTTTTAGAGAATCTTAAAAGCTTTGATAGAATCATGTGAAGCGTTGATAGAATCATGTGAAGTGTTGATAGAATCATGTGAAGTGTTGATAGAATCATGTGACGCGTTGATAGAATCATGTGAAGCGTTGATAGAATCATGTGAAGCGTTGATAGAATCATGTGAAGCGTTGATAGAATCATGTGAAGTGTTGATAGAATAATGTGAAGCGTTGATAGAATCATGTGAAGCGTTGATAGAATATCATGTGAAGCGTTGATGGAATCATGTGAAGCGTTGATAGAATATCATGTGAAGCGTTGATAGAATCATGTGAAGCGTTGATAGAATATCATGTGAAGCGTTGATAGAATATCACATGAAGCGTTGATAGAATAATATAAAGCTTTGATGGAATCATATGAAGCTTTGATAGAATCTTGTATACATTTTATAGAATCTTATAAAGCTCTGAAAGAATCTAACAAAACTTTCATCAAATCTTAATAAGCTTGCATGTATCTTATAAAACTTTGATAGAATCTTATAAAGCTTTAATAGAATCTTATAAAGCTTTAATATAATCTTATAAAACTTTAATAGAATCTTATAAAGCTTTTATCGAATAATATGAAGCTTTGATAGAATCATATGAAGCTTTGATTGAATCATATGAAGCTTTGATAGAATCTCATAAACTTTTATACATTTTATATAGCCTTGACAGAATGTTCCAAAGCTTTAAAACAATATTACATAAGACATAAGACGTATTTAGACGGGCTCTTCGAAATTGGTCACAAAATAAGTATTGTCCCTACTTCTTGTCACCGTTAACTACAACTGTAAGCCTAGTAGTGTTAAGCGGCTACATAAGCAGTTCACCAGCTTCATTTACCTTTACAATATTTGGCAGCATCTTATAAAAATTGACAGAATCTTATAAAGCTTTGATAGAATCTTGTTAACCTTTGATAGAATCTTGTTAACCTTTGACAGAATCTTGTTAACCTTTGATAGAATCTTGTTAACCTTTGACAGAATCTTGTTAACCTTTGATAGAATCTTGTTAACCTTCTTAAAAAGCTCTTATAACACTTGATCAAAATCTTATCAATCTCTAATAGAATTATATGAAGCTTTGATAGAATCTTATAAAACTTTGATAGACTCTTTTATTTAGAGGTTTAATAGAATCTTATAAAGTTTTGATAGAGTCTTACAAACTTTAATGCATTTTTATATAACCTTGCTTGGTAGAATTTCAGAAATTTTTGAAGGAATCCTATCAAATGCTTGGTAATCTTATATAACTTGATAGAATCATGTGAACCTTTGTTAAAATCTTATAAATCTTTAGAATCTTTCAAAAATTAAATGTTTGATATTTTGACTTATTTTGAAGAAAGATTGATCTCTCTAGTGAAGCGATGAATTCTTATGTGATAACTTTTAATTAAGTTCTCTAACTAATCATGATCAATAATACATCATAATCAGAATACAACTAGTCTCTGTCACAAGTTTTAAAATAGAAATTAAGTTTGCAATGGTTTGGAGTTGTGTTTAAATCACGGGATTAAGTATTGATCTCCATCTTATGCAGAACTACAGATTAGTTTAATTCATGTGATGATGGTCATAACCTGCTGGGATAACTTTGATTGAAGAATCAAGCATTGATCTTCAAATTCAAAAATGCCCACATTGAATATCGAGATCAAGTGTAAAATTTACAAGATTCACACAAAAAGTTTCGATTTCATGGCCCATTTTTTAAGTTATACTAGTCATATGGGGCAAAATACTTAGCAACGCTTCTAATTTAAAGAAGACTTTATTTCCGCTTTCAACTGGTAAAATGATATTTTGATTTTGAGAAATTCTTTTCTTCAAGTAACTAGTTTTTATAAATAGATTTTTAAAAATTTCATATCGACTGTTCCAAATCTTCTATTGTGCCAAATGTTAAAGAAAAGTTTATAATTGAAATTTAAAAAAAAAATATATTGAAAAGTTTGTCGTAGAAAGTTTATATTAAACAATTCTGTTCAGAAATTGTTTTCTCGAGATTTCAAAATAGAAATAAACCGAGTCCAAATTTAAAGAACTAAACTTAAATCATAAGTTTCAGCAAAAATCCCGCTGGTGACCTAAATGAAACTGTACGTAGCTTGAAAAATAAGCTGAAATATTTAATTTACAGAAATCGACGAGTTAAAGATAAATTTCCCGCATTTTCTGATTATTTTCATGCTTCTCTGGAACATTTTCGGCATCCAATAATATAGCGTCACTTGTGTACAAAAAGACCCATACAATATGGCATTCGATTCAATCTAACCCTAAATTCTTTTTTTACTGAACTTTTAAGCTAAAACTTGAAACTAGCACAATCTTTGGTTTTAGACTTGGAGCTCTGAAAATTATGTTCACACTTGTTCAAGTTGTACTGTACGGTAGAAAAACAGAAAACATGGAATAAGTAACGTACTGTATTTGTAGTAATATTTAGTAATATAATCTAGCCATATATTCTTTTGTTTCTTTTCAATTATAAATATCGCCATGGGTTTCATAATTTGCATTTAGATGTACACTGTACAGTGTACATTATTGAGTATTTACATGTACACTATTCAGTGCACATTTTAAGAAAAGAATCAGTCCAAAATACGAAATTTGTTCATTAGCAAAACAAAGACGATAACACCCACTGTTTTCATATTTGAGCATACTGTTGATTAAAAGTCAATGCCTGCCAAAAAATCGGTTTTTTACTTTCAAGTAAATAGAAATACTAATTCTTATTAAAAGTAAGAAAGAAAAAATTTAATAGTATCAAATGTCAGATAAGAAAAGATTCCAAAGATTTTTTTTTTCCTTTTTCAATATTTTTCAGTTTTTAAGAAATCCAAAAATATGGTTGAAGTTTTTTTCGATGCAAAATCCATAGATTAATAACAAAACAGATAAACCACTAGATGCGTCTTTTCAAGTTCTCGTTCACAATAACCCTGAGGCATGCCGGGTTGAATTGCAAGACAGAGAGAGAGGCTTTTGCCTCAGGGTTATTGTGAACGAAAAACCCCATAGTCTTAAAAAGACGATATCTAGTGTTTCTGTCTGTATTGTTTTTACTCTATGGCTAAATTCTAAAGATTTTTATTCCTAATTAATGTTTCTGATTTCTATTAAAAGTTTGTATAAATATAGCCTTTACTCAATGTACTGTGCAAATATAATGATCTAAATCTGAAAACAGAAATTTGGAAAAATATTATTAATAATATTAATCCTTTATTACAGGGACAATCCAAGTAATTTCAAGCAGCGAACCTTCATTCTAAGAGTATGCCTGATTCCCATTGTTAATCCTTAAACCTGATAATTTTTTGGAAATTTGAAAAATATATAAAGGTATAACTTGTACCGTTTTGAATCTTTAAACGGTCACGTTAAATCATACTTTCCCTTTAAGACCATTAATATTTGACCTTGAATATTTTCTATCTGCACAGAGTACAGAGAACTATGCAAATTAGGTTTCAATATTCAACAAAAAATATTGCACAAATTTTAATTCAACTTTTAGCGAACAAATCAAAATATCGATTGAGTTGGAATCTATCGATACAATCAAATTAAAGTTCAAGCTGAAGTATTAATAGTGAACATTTCAATATATCCGATTAAAAAAAAAAAAAATTACAAAAATCGTATCTTTAAAAAATTAAAGAACATTTTTTTGAGTAATAATTTTTTTTTAATATTAGCATTGCTTTTAAATAGATATAATTATAACATTTATATAAGTAAATAGAGCTGGACCGATTAATTTAACTCCTCACTTACACACAATTTAGAAATGAGAAAAAAATCTGGTTTTGAAAAATTATTGTCACAACTTTTTGACCTCGGAACCTCTCTAGTTTTGATTATACAACCAATGTTGCAAAATTAAACTAGAATTTCAACTCAAATCCGATAACTCAGTTTAATTTATGGGCAAGAACAAAAAAAGTTTCGAAAATAGCAAGTTTATCATGAAATTTGGTTTTATGACACCATTTGAAACACTGGATGTGTTTTCTTCTTTATGGTAAAAATGTTAAGGTGAGGAAAAGCAAGTAATTGACCATTGATCTTGTACAATATACTTATTCACTCCATTCTCAAAATCCACATTTAGTTGGTATTAGATGCCGGCATTGGGGCAACCTTTACGGGTTTTTAAAAGTTCTTAAACGGATTCTTCCATTCATTTTAAGAAACTTGTGTGATCGTTAACAGTGGATCTGTTACCTTATATGGAGAAGTAGAATTGTGTACGCTTTCAGCATCATCGTCTTCAGATATTGCTGTAGTTAGGGACATTCGATCATCATCAGATATCTAAACAATCAATCAATCAATCAATCGACTATGGTACAAACATTAAAACTTATTTGATTGGCACAAAAAGAAAAAGTACATAAAAACATTTAAGTTAGAAAAAACAAATTATTTTGTAATTAAAAATAAATAATTCGTTTCCATTTAATCCAGATTTATTAACAGAAAAAACATGCTGATCATGCAAATAAATTAATATAAAGTGACAACTAAAATCATAATCACAAAAATAGGAAATAAAATCTTGTGATTTTAATAATAATCTACCAAAAGTCTATTCTATGTCTTGAAGAGAGCAATAAAAGGTTTCTAAGACGAAAAATATATTTTGAAATATTTCTCTACATCTCCTGAATCTAATTAAAGCATGCAGTTCCATATCCTTGTATTGTTCTTATTCTTTCAATTCAAACTTCATCTCATTTACATTCATTAATCTTATCCGGAACCCCACCTACCGGTTAATCCTAATGCTTAGCCTAACAATATAATTCAGCCATACATTCTTTTCATGTGGATAACACTAACAGTATACATTATTGCTTATTCTAACAATAAAATCCAATCGTATGTTCTTTTAGTAATATAATCTAGCCATATATTCTTTTCATGTGGATAACACTAACAGTAAACATTATTGCTTATTCTAACAATAAAATCCAATCGTACATTTTAGTAATATAATCTAGCCATATATTCTTTTCATGTGGATAACACTAACAGTAAACATTATTGCTTATTCTAACAATAAAATCCAATCGTATTTTCTTTTAGTAATATAATCTAACCATATATTCATTTTGTGTCAAAAGCATTAATCTTCTTGCTAATTTCAACAATACAATCTAACTCTGTGTTCTAACCATATATTTTCCTTATCACAGCATAACAACATAAACTAACTTTATGTTATAACCAGCATAACAACATAAACTAACTTTATGTTGTAACCAGCATAACAACATAAACTAACTTTATGTTGTAACCAGCATAACAACATAAACTAACTTTATGTTGTAACCAGCCTCAATAGTCCTTAACCCTGTGAATGAATTGTTCCTTAGTTATCATGGCTTCTAGTATGCATACATTCGCAGATTGCAGACCTTATGAATTACCTTGCATAAAAAGATGGCATTGCAAATTGTTTGACTAATTTTGTGATGTAAGTGCATGTATTTTGGCATTCCCATATTTTTATTGCTAGACTCGGAACAGAAAATAATCTGAGCAAACACATCCTCGGCAGTTTTCTTGTTAGAGGACACCAGGGCTCTTGACGATTCTTTTTTCCTGGTTCTTCCTTTAGAGTTTGAACTTGATGCTCCAGCTTCTGTTAGAAGATCACAGTCACTCTCACTGTACATCAGAAGAACATTCACATTAATGCATTCTTCCTCACCATGGCTTCAAATCATTAAAAAAGCGATTATTTTTTTGATAAGAAATTGCAACTGCAGTTACAAAAATATGATCCAAGACCAAAATTACAATTCCAGTTTTAAACCCAAAAGATATTTCATACATTTAAGTTTTAAATACACTCACCAATTCATTCATTGAACAAATATCTACATATTATTTGAAGTAAGTTTGCCCCTTTAGTCGTTTGAAGATCAGATTTTTGAGCAGTTTTTCCCTTCCAAGTTTTCTGTCAATTTACTAAATGGCAGGGCTAAGGTTAGCTCAGGTTCTAAAGAAAATTCTCAAGTTTGAGAAGAAATATTCTCTCAAAAAGTTTTGCATCATTAATAAATGCATGTCTTTTCCTTTCATATCCTGTTTCCTTTCTTGACTGGTTCCAGGTTGACTAAAATTCAATTTTTCAATAATATAACCTTTTTTATTTGATTTTTTATAAACGTAAACAAACCTCTAAACTTGGACGATTGTAAGCGTATGTTTTATTTGTTTTATCACGATGATCTTTCTTTTCGGAATATTTGCCAGCACTTCCACCATTGTGATGGGAATGGAAAGACACATGATGTCCTCCTCCATGCAGTTGAGGAACACAACCTCGAGCTAAAGGACATCCATCATCAGAACATCCATTTTCACAGCCACTTAGTACCTTAATGTGCTTCAAATAAGAAAAGAAGCACTCATGCAAAGGAATTGAGTCTTTGCCAAAAACTCTGTTATAATACCTATATTTTTGCAACCAAATGTTGGAGAGCTTAGATATTTCAAACCATGAATTTTGCTAAATTAAAATATCTTAGTTTAAAATATAAATCTCAATTTAAATGCACAAATCCTGCATTGCTTAAAAAGGCTTAATTAAAATATAACCCCCCAAAAAGTAGCTGAAATTAAAATGTACATAGAAGAAACACTGGTTCAATTCAGTCTTTGTAGTTCAACTTCATTCATTATGTCTGGTCCCTGTTAAGTTCAAAATGTTAATGCACAAAACATTTACTTATAGTTTGGTTTGAATTTCACTTCAATTTTAAACATGTTCATTTAAAGCATTCCTTATCAATAAAAGAAAAAACTTCATTAATTTGTGAATTTTTCTTTTTTCTTCTATATCTATTTTCTATCCTCTCCACCCTGTCTAAAGAATTCACAGCCTGACCATAGGGTTTTTGAGAGGAGTTAGATGAAGCACGTTCACAATGACTAAAGACATATTTTTAAAATGAGAACCTTTTATCTTTTAATTTTTACCAAAATAATATAACACTTTTTAGGAATATTTACACCATTGGACATTTTATTTTAATGTCTTTCCTATCACTCTTTCGGTTATTATCAATCGTTTTATTTCTCTCTTCCGTATCAGACCAGAAAGAATTTGATTTTCCATCTCCAGCTCCCATCTCTGAATCCTGAGCCTGTTAGAAATATTTATGATCTAAGTACATTGATAAAGAGAAAATGGGTTTTCGATAAAACATTTTAGAGATTGGGTATGTATAAAGAAGATATATGATCGGCACTTAGGACATTATTTGCTCCCTGACTGATATGACGGGAAAGATTTACAGCTTCACTATCAGAGCAATAGTCCCCACGCTTAGTTTCTTCAGCATAGGACAGTGCTAAACGTACACATTCTTCTAGTGCTTGGGTTGAGTCCTGCATGAATATACTAATCCTATTTTCACCAAATCTGACTGATTTCCCTCTCTGGACGGTCCCATTGTTTTGTAGCCCTAAATTTACATTATTTCCTGCAACTTGTCTGCCACTTGAGTTTGTATATGTATCATGAGAAGTTAATGATTGATTTTCACTGCTAATATGTCTTTGATTAGAAGAGTTGTTGCTACCATTGAAATGAATATCTGACGCTGCCACATGTCTTGATGTCCCAGGCTGAGGTACAACAGGTTTAGCATGTAGCGCTGCCACCTTTGTCCCTTCCTCCTCAAATCCCCAATCATTGAACCCGTAGTCGGTGCTCATAAGACTGGCAGCTCTGGGGAGACTATTTCCTCCAGGAAATTGGAAATTTGAACTTTGAGATGCAGTTTCTTCAAGAGTAAAGTCTGGAGACTTACTTCTCCACTTATCCCTGAACCTGTGACGAACACCCTGTATCATGTTTGGCAGTTTCCAGTGCTTTCTCCGTCCAGACCTGGTCCTCACTGAAACATGACAAAAACTTGTGATTCAACAAAACAATAACAATGTTTGCTGATGGATGAAAAATGAATTGGAAAAATTGATAATAAAACATTTACTTGTTTTGTACCGTTCTAAATGTGTGCATGTGTACAAATATTTAAGACAAGAAATTTAGACTTCTTCATATAAAACTTTTAAATATCTTTTATTTGAGCTTTTTAAAACAGTTTCATGGTCATGCCTAGGCCATTAGAGCCCTCCCATGAGGTTTCTGTCATTTTTGAAACAGGTCTGTTAGGTCAAAACATGTAACAAAAAAATTAAGGTTCCCCAGGAACACAGAGTATTAAAGATTTCCAGATTTCAAAGCATTTTAAACATTTGTCTGAAAATGTTATGAAACTTCCAAATTTATAGATTTTTGGTCTTAATTTAATGTGACATATAATTTTTCAGAAAATTTAATATTTTTGACTGGTATTTTATTTATATTATAATTGTACTGTGCTAATCTTTTTACTGTATTGCACTGTATTAACTTTAAACTGTTAACTACTGAGTACATATAAATTATACATATACTGCATACTGATTTTTATAATATTGCACTGTGTACTGACATATGATAAATTGTACTGTGTATCGTAGCAAAGTGATATTAACTTATTCAAAATTTGTTTTTAGGAATTTCATTGAGAACTGAAAAAAACGTATTGTACTTTGTTGCTGTGTGTTTAGATTCACTTCTTTGGCAATTCAATTAACAAGTATTGGATTGTACTGTTTCTTTTTATAAACTTAATGATGTGTAACATTGTCACAGATAATAATTATTTAAATAAATTTCATTAAATTAAAAAAACAGCATGGAGTGAAAATTATCTAGAAAAATGTTGTCAAGAACCTGGAATTCTGACAAAAACAAAATAATCTAATGATTGATATATCCAAATAAGAACTATTTATCACTATAAACTTTGATTGCTTTTCACTGTCCATAAACTATTAAGCAATAAACGGAAGAAACAACAATAACTTTTTTCTTTTATAAAGTTTATTTAAACAAAGTTTTTATTTTGAAAAATACAAAAATCATGTCAAATTTCATAAATTGCTTCAAGAAAAGAAAATATCGGAAAATTTAGAATCAGCAAATTTGGAATTCAAGGATCAACAAAAATGTTAAAATCCAGGAAAGATTTTGAATTTTTTTAGAAACAATGAAAATTGATTTTATCCAAAAACAAATAAAAAATGTGTGTTAAAAAAGTTTAAAGTCCTTGATTTAAAAAAAATGTTCCTAAACCTCCATTTAATAATACTTAAAGGGAGTGTTCTTTCTTATTTATACTCTTCAGGTGAAAATTTTCCTTTACATTGTACTGCAATAAACATTAAATAGATAAAACTAAATAAGAAAACTGTTATTGCCTCTTGAACGAATAATAAGAAAAAGATTTTTTTTCTTCTAATTTTTCATAATCGGGAATCATTTTTTTCTACTGACTCAGAAATTTGAATGATTTTAATACTGATAAGAAAGGGTGGTCTTCAAAAATTGATAGAAACATTGACCAAGTTAGAAAATGAAACTTTCCATGAAAAATGTGCACTCGCAAGCTTTTCAAAGTGCCATTTAATGAAAATCTGAGATGCCAGCAAAAACATAAAAGAAATTGAGTCTTTGGAACAAAATCCGATATTTAAACCTCAATATCTTTAGAACTCGATGTTGTAAACCTTTGATATTTTAAACTCAGATTATTTGATCTAACAGAATTCATAGTTTGAAATACCTAAGGTCTGCAACATTTGGTTCTAAAGATATTGTGATTAGAAAATTAGAGTTTGTGGCAAAGACTCAATTCCTTTGCAGGATCACAAAAGTATTCTCAGCAATAGGTCATTCGGTTCATCAACAATTTTGATAAGAATTATTTAAATATGTTTTTTTAAATGACTTGATGAAGGCTGGAGACCAACTCATTTAATACTTTTTCTTAATGAACAAAATTAAAATCTAGTCAAAAACCAGTGTTAAAAATATCACTATATTTTGTGCTATACTGCAAGCATTTGTTTCAATAAGTTTTGAGATCTTTAAAACACTCATAACCTGGCATTCTTTTTAGAGCAACGTTTTTAAAGGATCTCTTCTGTTCCTTTTATTCGAATTTTCGTTGTTGTTTCTTGGTCCCTTGGTCCCTTGGGCAGTTTTTTTCTTGGTCCCTTGGCCAGTAATTAAATATTCATTCAAGGCTATGAGGTTCTGAACATTAGTGCAGTTTGATATTTTACTTGAGTTTATTGTCAAATCATTCCATCTTGTCCTTTAATATTATCAAATATACAACTTGATTTGTTTGTCTCCTATATACTTAAAGGGTTTGTCCACGTTAATTTAAGATAATCAAATATACAACTTGTTGTGTTTGTCTCCTATATACTTAAAGGGTTTGTCCACGTGAATTTAATGTTATCAAATATACAACTTGATTTGTTTGTATCATAAATACGGAAAGGGTTTGTCCACGTGAATTTAAGATTATCAAATATACAACTTGTTGTGTTTGTCTCATAAATACTTAAAGGGACAGTCCACGTTAATTTAATATTATCAAATATACAACTTGTTGTGTTTGTCTCCTATATACTGAAATGGTTTGTCCACGTTAATTTAATATTATCAAATATACAACTTGTTGTGTTTGTCTCATAAATACTTAAAGGGTCAGTCCACGTGAATTTAATATTATCAAATATACAACTTGATTTGTTTGTCTCATAAATACTTAAAGGGTTTGTCCACGTGAATTTAATATTATCAAATATACAACTTGATTTGTTTGT